TGTATCAATTGTTCTGGGATTAAACTGGGATGGAATATTATACCTCAGTCTTCTTCCAATCAGCAGCCGAGCAGGAGATCCCAATCCTTCCATTGGGGTATTTCTGAATTGAAGTAAAGCCATAAATATGTCCTTATTGTCTTATACTGCTTCAATCATAATTCTTTTTACAGTCTGCACTATCTTTCTGCTAATCCATTAGCTTGAGCATATGTTGGACTGCTTATTAAATGTTGAAAATTCCAGTTAACTTAGAATGTTCTGAATTGCAATGAAGAAAATTGAGGACCTCCATCACTCAGCACTATTTCTGGAATCCCATATCTTGAAAATATTATTTTAAATATATATTTAAATCGGATATAGCCTCACTATCCGATCTATGTAGTTTTTTTTACCTCTACATATTTTGAATAATAATCTACCACTAGTAAATAATTTACAGATTTTAATGAAAATAGGTCACAGGCTACTACCTTTTGCCAAGGTCTGTTTGGTATTTCACTCATAATCATTGGCTCTCGCTGGTTAGAATTCAGGTTCGAAGCACATTTTCACAGGATATTACCAAATCTTCAATTTCTTTATTAAAACCTGGCCAAAAGTAATTTTCCCCAGCATGTATTTTAGTGCGTAAAATCCCTTGATGGCTATAGTGTAGAAGATTTAGAATTTTTTTTTCTCAACACTTTGGGGACTATTACTTTGTTTGATTTATAAATTATATTATCAACTGCCATTAATTCTTCACTATATCTTTTAAATGGTCTTAATGTGTTTGGAATGTCTTTGCATTCCTTTGGACATCCATGATATATATATATATATATATATATATATATATATATACATTTCTAATTTTTCTAAATATTGTTCATTTTTAGTTTCTTATGCAATATCTGCCAGATTAACATTTTTTTCTGTGATATTTATGTTCAAAATGCACACCTGAGCTGCAGTATCTTTTTCTATAGCTCATCAAACTTAGTATCTTCATTGTCTGATGAATTCATCCTAGAGAGGGCATCTGCAATATACATATTTTTTCTCAGTACATGTTTTCGAACAGTATCATAGTGTTGCCATCTAATTAGCATTCTTTGCAGACGTAATGGACATTGATACAGAGATTTCTTAAAAAATTCAATTAGAGGCTTGTGATCTGTTTCAATAACTTTTGTTTTACCTAAAATATGTTGCTCAAATTTTTCACATCCATAAACAATTTCAAGAAGTTCTTTTCCTATTGCAGGACACCTTTTTTGTAGCGTTGCCCAAAATTGGTCTTGCAAATCCTGCAAGTCTTGCAGTAAGTCAAACTGAGACTATTTTCAGATATAATACGGTGCTTAAACATTTTAACCATCTAATCTAAACAGCGTTGTTTTGTCTTGTGGAATTGTATATTTGAGTATAGATTTCCAAATAATAATAAAAAATCAATCCTTTTATTTCTCCCCCACCTAGCCATGTAGGTTATGTGGTGTTTTTCGCAGACCAGGGCGTGAGAGCGGAGGTTTAAAGCCAAAGTTAAAAAACCGCCCCCTGGGCAGCGCGATGCGAACTCATAATTATTTTACTATCCCCAACTTCGGTTATCAAGTTACCGGGCAATGCGCATTGCTGTGCCCACTCGTTATTCCGCTCGGCCACCCCGGGTGTCAAGATAAGAAAACAAAACAAAAAATGCGTTTTAATGAATAAAAATTAAGACTGAATGGTTACTAATACTAGCCCTTTTTGGTTACTATAATGAAACTTCTCACTCACGGGGAATCAAAAATTGCCCGCTATAGAGAGATGTCGGTTTTAGAAAAATTGAAAGAAAAACATTTTTAAAAAACAACATTTAGAAAACCATTAAAACCATTTTTCTTTTTAAGTTTACAAATTTAAAATATTTTTATAAGAAATTTAATAATATATTTTTCATAATAAAATTGCACATAAGTAAGGTAAACTTGTTTGTATATAGAAAAAAAAGAATAGTAATTTGTAATTTTTGTTTAGTCTAGCATAACTATTTTGTTTTCCAAATAGTTATGGATAGATAAAATCGTTAAAATTATTCCACTATCCTTGTTCAAAATGAACATCCTCTCTCAGCCAACTAATTTGTGAGGGAACTTCTTAAATATTCATTCAGAACTTCTTTAATATTCACTCAGAGATCACAAAAATATATTGTCAGCTCAAAAGTCTAACGCAAATATAATTATTCGAATTAATTGTGAAATTGCTGGAGGGTTAAGATACAAGCCTGACGAAACCATTTATATGTTACTGCAACAACGACATAACTCGAAAGAAATTATTTTTTTGCATTAACATTTCCATGTTTGGCCAGCTGTTTACAGTATTCGTTATTTCTTTAAAATGTCTAAGTACCATGTTTTAATCGAGTGTCTAAATTGCGAATACTGAGCTTTCTGGTACACTCATTAATAACATAACCTTTTCTTTGAAATTTAACCGGAACCATGTTGACATATGACAATGAAATCAGTGGAAATGGCAACAAAGGGTTAAGACTCTAAATTCTATTTCAAAACCGGATTCCCTGTATACATAATGGAACTAAGCGACAATAAAGTAGATTAATGTTCTCAGAATATGATCTTCACAATTTCCTTGCGTACAGTGATTCCTAACTGGATTTTTTTGGTCGAAATTCTATAAAATATTTGCATTTTTTTTAAATACTTGTACATGAAACAGGATTCAGAACTTAAACATAAAATTTAGTGTAAAATTATTTTATCTTACCTTATTTCTTAATCGTTTTTGTGGACACCTATTGGTTAATTCTCGTCCATGAATTATTCTTCATTTTCCTTATGGTTCTTCATTCTTATAATTGATAATTTTTTGACTGCACATCCTACCGATTTTTTATCGTTCCTTTTTTTATTTTATTTGATATATAATGTATGACACAGAACTACATGAACGTTTATTGTTAATCTGGTCATAATGGTTATTATCAGGGGTGCCCATCCCCCCCACATCTGATGGCGCATGCCCCCTTCCTCCCCCAAAAAAATATTATTGCCCCTTTCACTTGTATAATTAATATGTATCTATATGAGATGTAATATTAATGTTACTTTAACAGATAGTAGATATAATATTGGTTTGTTTCTCGAGAATATTAAAGGCACAATACTTAAGCAGTTACTATCAACAAGTAACATCAGTAATATTTAGAGGAGGCAAGGCTCCCCTCTGCCCTCCTCTGCCTATGCCCATGTCAGGAATTTATTATTATTTTGTTTTAAAATGTTTTTTCCTTTTAAATGAGAATCTCATCTGAAATAATTGCGGGAGCGTTGTCAAAAGGGGGTACATTATTTTAAAATAGGGGGTGGACAATAAATTTGAGGATGGAGAAATTAGTCTTTATTTCCTAATTAGTTTCTTTTGGAATGTTGAAGTGACCTGTCACTGATGATATTTCGTGAGTTTTTTTAGTTTTTTTTGCTACACTATTTTAAATTTGTTTCCGTGTCTTATAGCCAAAGACAAAGCATTTATTATGTACACACAATGAAAGTACTGCATACCGATATTTCAAACAAGCAGCGCTCTTTGAGTTAATGCTGTAACTGGATATGCAGAAGACATTGCCCTGCTTGTATTGAGTACTTAGAATAAAATCATATTGCCGCTCTTCCAAGTATGTGGCGCCCTTAGATATTTTTTTTATATACACGCAAACCTCAGTGTGCCTTTTTTTTTCTTTATTTCCTGGTTTAAATGTTCTCTTAAAATAGAAAACTTAATGTCACCTCCCCAAAAAAATTCTGATGGCACAACTTGTGACATACAATCTACCCCTGGTTATTATCATGTTTACCTCCGTGTAACAGGTATTGAGAAACGTCGACAAATATTAATTGTAAAGGGCCTCAAGTCAACAGTGGCAGCTTTTGTTTGTTAATTATTGATAATAATGATTTCACTGATTGTTTTTTAGAAAAATGAATCTAATTCAATTGTTTATTTTTTCTAATAGACACATTTAAAGTTGTATTTTTTTAAATAGATAGGAAATTCGTGTGAGTGGACACACTAGATTTTTCATTAAAATCATTGGTAACAATATATAAATTGTTTTTACTCTACAACTCTTCTATTCCACATAATTGGAGGGGGGATGGAGGAGGGTTATCACTATCTTTCTTAATTCTTAATTTTATTGATTTGGTTGGACTATACTATGTTTACGTCAATAAAACATCTAAATATACTTATTTTTTAGCGTATGTCTAAGATTTAAAGTAACATATTTGATAAATAGTAATAAGCTGATAGGTAACTACAATACTCTTGCGCAAGACCAAGCCCAAGACCAGGACCGAGTGCGCAAAACCAAGACCAAGGTTTGTTGATGCAAGACCTTCAATGTTCTTTTTTGGTAGAAAATGCTTTTCAAATCTATCAAGAAGGATTTTTAAATCTTCAGAATTTGAAGTCTTATCAAACGAAAAAGCTGAGCACATTGAGTTTTTTCCAATTTTTTGTCCAACTCAGACTTGCTATAATATAATTTTCAAATTTCTGTCGCCAAAATTTCCAATTAGCCGCTAGGTTTCCAGACGTATTAAGGTTTTGAATGCCCTTTTCTGCCATATTTACCAATTATTTTTACCTTCAATCTTCCAATGATTAAAAGCAACACTTTTATTTAACTATAATTAAACGAACAGTTTTTAAAATTTACCGACTGCGCCATGTAACATATTCAAGTTTAAATGAAAACAATGTTGTAGTATCAAAACTCAAACTTTATTCAATAATGATCTTTAACCTATGAACATATGTTTATTATTAACATTTATTATCAACAATACAATGATTGCTATTAATATTCTTTCATTAACAATCAGTTAGCATTATGATTATTATTATTTTTTGTTTTAATATTAGCCACAATCTTTCATAACCATAAGATTTTTTTTGTTTATTGTTTTATTTATAATTTTTTTTTTTTGTTCTAGGTCCTAAAGTATATTGAGCATTATTCTGATGCATTAAATACCCTTTTGAAAACAATAGAATCAGAAAAAACTTGGGATTTGTCGTTCAATACATATAATTCACTACTTCAGTATCTGGACTTGATTATGAGTTATATTGGTCACAAAGGCAGATTAAAGCCTAAGAAATTTTATGCAATGATAAAAGTATGGTTCTAAAGAGTTCCATTTTGATATATTTTTTCTGTATTCATTATGCTTTAAAATTGTCTATTTGTTCTATCTATTTCTAATGCTCAATTAATATAGGTATTATGTAACTGCCATGATTAATATTCTGTTATATTATTATTTCTATTAATATGACAGTGCCATGCATCAGTCATTGTAGATGATGATGATTGCTAGTGGTTAATTTAAAAGAAAATAGAAATTGTGTACAAGTATGCTTTATCCCCATTTGCGTATTAATGTTCTTTAAAATTGATTATGCTTGCACTATATTTTAGTAGTAAACTTTTTTTATATTTTCTCCCAGAAATATTCATTAAAAAAAAAACTCTTAACCTGGGTCAGTAAGTCATCTAGTACAGTTGTATACAACTTTATATAGCTGTCGACAGTGAAGCCAGTGTGATAGAGGCTTGCTCAGCTCAGTTGGGCTGAAGCCTTCATCGGAAGCACTCCATTGGTAACATTGATACAAAATCAAGATCACCCAGATGTAAATGTTTTTAAATTTATTTTATTTTTTTCTCCTGATGTTTCATGAAATACACCAAATAAAGTAATGTCTTCTAAAGATGCAACAAAGAGGTCTCAATCTGTAGGATTTACAACCTGTTCTTCGCTATATAAACAAAAAAAATTCCCATGCTCAACAGCAACCTCATTTGCTATACCAGCTACCCTGGGAGAAGAAATTCAACCTCAGCTGTGCTCATCATATCAGGAAATGACTGATCAATCTCGCCTTTTCATTCCTAATCCATATGAAGTTGTTAAAAATGAAGAAGAACCAATGGAATCTTACCCTATTCCTAGAGATCCCTAACATCTTCCCCACCCTTTTACTACCATCTCCATTTCCTATAACTTAATGTCTTCACACTTCCTCCAAATCATTAATTGAAATTCTTTTTTCAAACCTATTTTCCAACTCGAACATAGTGACATGTGTTCGAAATGACTAGAAGAAATTTCATGAGCTTTCAATCAATTGAACTAATTTTTCCAATTATCGAACCTGATATTTGGCCAAAATCGGATTTCTAAAATTTATCAAATAAATAACTGCAGAAACTTTCAGATTGTTCCGAATAAGAAACTTTTTCTTTAAATGACATCGAAGTGTTTGATGTGAATTAAGCTTTCTAAGAGAAACAACCCATCCAATAAATGTAGTAACCAATGTGTTTCAGTTATTTACTAAATTTCATATTCTTAAAATAGTTTTCAATTTTTTCTTTGTAATCAATGAAACTTTCATGAGTCGTTGTTTGGTAACCCCTACTCTAAACATTTAAATAAATAAATATAACACCAAATTTAAATGTAAATATTGTAATTAAATCAGATAAAATTAAGATGTTAATAATTCTTCTTGATTTTTCAAATTTGTTATAAAATGTTATATGAGCGACAAAATTTGACACCTGCTAAATGATGAAAGTACTCTTAAAATAATAAGGAACAACTATATTGTACAACTAAAATTAATAAATATACCCAAAATAAAAAAACTTGCTGGATAGAAGATATTTATGTTATCTATTAATAGATATTATTGTCAATCTGTCAGGTCCTAGCCTTTAAACAGATAGGTGTGTTTACTTCTTTTCACATTACAATTGTGCTTGCTTATAAATGGTGTTTTTTAAAGTTTCTATTACAGTTAGCCATCAACAGTGTTATTAATATTAACTGTTTCAGTTATTTATTAAACTATTATTACCTAATAAACAATTCAAGCTAAGAAATAAATTTAAAGTTTTAGAGATATAGCCGAGCGTGAGTTGAGTTGTTTATCCCCACCACATCTACCACTCCCCATCATCTCTATCAGTATCATAGATTCTATTATCCATTTGACCAGTTGTTTCACAATGACGCTGTGTCAGAAATGCAATAATACTGTCGGTAAAGACGACAAATCTACATCAGTTTGCACGACGTGCAAATTAATTTATCATAAAAAATGCTGCAACGTCTCTGATACCGACATAACACATCATTAAAAAAATTTCGTACCTCATGCTCAAAGCCTCATAGTGAGCAACAAGCTATGGTGGCCACGGATGTTATAAAGGAAAATAATGGTTCTATTTTAGCCGAGGTAAGAAATGCTTGGGAATGTTTGAAATTGCTGGGGACATCAAAGATATCAAGATTTCACTTGGAAAACAAAGTAATCTCGCATTCAAAATAGTGAGATTGAAAATAATTCAAGAAATGAATCTCAAACAAGAAAAAATAATAAAAAATGTATTAAGTGAAAATAGATCATTAAAATCGCAGATAAATACGCTGGAGGTGAGGCTTAATCAAATGAGCAAGTCCAGCGTTCTAATTCTTTGGAGATAAGAGTATTACGCCTAACCCAGGAGAAACAACGTAGGGCTTGGTATGCTCTATTGGTGCGACACTAGGCATAAAACTAGGTGTTGAAGATCTAGATTTTTTAAAAAGGAAAAGATCTAGAAGAGAAGACCCTTAGCCACCGCCAATCGTCGTGCAGTTTTTCTGTCATACAGTACGTGATGTGGTCATCCAGTTACATAAGGTCAATAGAGACTTTTCCACAAAGCATCTGGGCAGATACAGCTATGAGAGGATTTATCTAAGCGAAGAGATGAGTACAGGCAATAAAGATTTGTATTGGTTGGCAAGACAGAAAAAGGCAGCAGGTAGGCTGAAGTAGTACGTCTGGTTTGCTGGAGGAAAGGTCTTGGAAAGGATTTTCTCTGAATCCTTTTGTTATGAATGTCTGTTATTTTTATTTTCCTTTTTATACATTTCTTTTTCATTTTAATTTTTATAATTTATCAACCCATGCATTAAAGTAATTGAAAATAATGGTCTATATTTTCAAGAATAATTTTAATATTTATTTTTTATACTGAAACTTATATTATACCCCTAGTAAATGACTGAAATATCTTGTTTTCACTGGCTTGGTATTGAGAATGCTTCAATAATTTATTGCTAACCCTACCATCACTAACCATAGTCTTTAATTTCACTTTTCGTTAAAACTGCCTTGTCACTAATTATTGTGGTATCCTTCTGAGAAGATTTTTGAGAGGCATTAATTAATTATTATTCATTGCTAACTTCCTTGGAAAATCATTACACAAAGTTGAAGTTTTAATATTTCATGAAATGGTTTATTCCTTGATTATGTTTTTTTTCCATGTTTATTATATTTTTATTTTTTTTTAAGTTATAAAAATAAATAAGAAAAACATATGTTATTTTTTGTTCAGGGTTTAAATACAGTGAAGGTTGGACCATATTCCAAATTTAAATTGATTTTCATCAACTCTCTAGTTGATGGAGTAAACAAGAATTCTGTTTTGTTTGGGAAAGTTTTATGGAGTGTACAAATGGACTGTTCTTTTCCATTGTGAGTTTTAATTTTAGATTTCTATCAGTTTACTAAATAATTTCATTCTATAGTTTGATTATAAAAAAAATTACAGCTCATTTGGCTTAGTTGATGCCAATGGTGATGAAGTTGTCATAACAGTCTTTAACTTATCTATAGCTCATAGATTTTTCATTATTGGTGACTCAGTTGCCATTCCAAATCCCTGGTTTGAGGATGTAGATGCATCACATAAAGATAAGGTAAGATTACAGTTTTTTTTTCTATTTTAAAGTATTTCACCTTATTTATAATAATTAAATATGTATTAAGTGGTATTATATTAGTCATAGATAATTTTTGTTATTATTTCAGTGTTACAAATTCAGGAAAGTCAGGGTAGAAAATCCTACGGAACTGGTTGTTAATGATAAGCAGTTACCTGACTCATGCTTTGCGAAGGTCAAATTTGATACACTGCCAATGCAGTTTTGAGATCCTTAATGTTTTAAAAATAAACCATTTGTCTTACTTTTTTCATATAGTTTATAATGTGAATTTTTTATTGATGAAAATATATATTTCTTTATAAAATGAGATACCTGTATTTTATTTTATTGCCTTTTACTATAATAATTATCTTGATGTACTTTTTGAGAAGTCTTCCAAATACTTTCATGAATATGCTGGTGAAAGATAATTTTTAAAATCGATTAAATAAAATTTTATTTTGTTGAACTCAATAAAATCAAATTTCACAAACATTTGGGACATTTATTAGATCCTATTCCTATCATCGGATTACAACATTCTCTGCAATATATTACACATTGTCAGTAATATTAACCATTAATAAATAGTCATGAAATCAGTCTCAAAATTTTTATATTGTATTTTTATATGTATGGTGATGTCTCAATCCAAGCTTTTTTTCAGATTCAGCAGCAGGACTAAAATTAAATAAAAAATACAACAGATATATTATTAATATCCTTTTCTGTGTTTGTATAGATGTGTACAAAGACAGAAACAGGGGCAAATAACAAAGAGAAAAAGATAAATGATAACAGTAAATCAAGTGGTAAGATTTCAAATAATAATAGAGATACAATAAATGATAGATAACTTAAAAATTATAAAAACCGAAGTTAAATACATTAAAACAGCAGTATACAATATGAATTGATTATGAAAAAGAATATTTATATAAATAAAATAAAGGTTTTGTCTGTACATTGAATAGAATCAACCTGTTTCATGATATTTTTCCGTTTCATACACTACAGACACCAAATCTACTTTTAAAAAAAAATTTGTCTGTCTGTATGTCCGCATTGTCCAACGAAATTTTGTCTGGGGTAAGCTCAGCAATAGCTAATGGTAGACTTTTGAAATTTTATTTAGGTGTGCTTGACTTAAAACATAGGCTTTAAATGAAAACAAAATATTGAGTAGAACCAAAGTTATGAATTCTTGAGTAAATTGTCTAGAGATCCCGGTTAGGCAGTTACTTTGATTCTCATCCCAACCTACTCTATCGTGAACCACATTTAAAAGTTGTTCTATTCAACTGATGGAAAAAATGACCACAACTCAACAGAAAAAAATCCGAAATCCCGAACATCTATAACGCGTTGTTGCTTAAAACACCGGTAAAACACACTAATTTTTCAACTTTGTCCAATCTTCCCGTTCAAGGTGTCATTTGATTCAACTTTCCTAGGCTAACAAATGTGTTCATATACATGTTTAGGATTAACCAAACAAGTTAGCCGGAAATCAGAAAAAAAACTAACAATTTCACCCCGCTTGCCACATTATACAGATCAAGTTCTAATTTTACACGGATGTAGGTGAATCAATGTCAAATGTTATTTTGCCAGCGATAAACTCAGCAATGGCTAATGGTAGACTTTTGAATCTTTTACATTATATTTAGCTTTGTTTGACTTAAAAAAGGCTTTGAGTATAAACAAAATATTGAGTAGAACCAAAGTTATGAATTCTTGAGTAATTTGTCTAGAGATCCCGGTTCAGAACCCAGCGGGAATAAAACATAATCACGGACTTCCGCTTAATTGTCAACGCGCTTTTTTAACAGTCAGTTGTTGGGTTTATCCAATTGATCTGCTGAAGATGTCATTCTATCAAACTCGCCAAGTCAAGTAAATATGGTCCATTTTTATTAAATATATGGAATGGCCACTGACATCCTCCCACACTTGAGCACCCAAGTCAAGCTGTTTCGCTTAGTCGCCTTCACCTAGGTTACTACCCATTTCTCAGAAATAATACGTAGCCAAATTTTGACTAAAATTGTTCACTCATTAGTTCTACTATCATATTCATTGTCAGTCAAGGAAGTAAAAATTTGTTCCACACATAAATTTTCAATTTTAAATCAATATTTTTTTTTTTACCTTAAATTAAATTGATTAATAAATAACTGTTGATACAAAAATAATTTATAATAAACCTAAACAAAATCTAAATACATAAAATAATTCATTTTTTTTAATATTGTCTAATTGCAATTTACTGAGTATTTGAAAACGCTGATGAAATATTAATTAAGTTTTTATGCACCAATAAAAATTTTAATGAATCAAAAGAAATGATTGATGGTTTGAATTTGTTTAATCTAAAGCTTACAATTTATTTAAAGTTAATTGAAATCAACTGGGAACAATTAAATTTAGAAACAAGTTTAATCTTTTGAAGTTATTTCGATTGTTGTGAGAAGACCGAAGCAACAGAAAACTTTGTATTTATATCCGATCTGTCTTACCCCACTCCGTTACTCCCCTACCCCTCCTATTCTCCTTTCGTTTGTTGCCTCTCTCTCTATCATTCTCAGTATACTACCAACGGTTAAACTGTAAGGAACTAACCCTTGATAAAAATAGGCTTTAGTTATTGATATTGACTTGAATTGCTGATTTACTGTTTCGATATAATTTATTGAAACCTTATTTGGTTGTATGATTATCACAAACTCGGAATTCGATCCGCCTTCGTATATTGACATCCTAGGGTTTTATTTTAATTTTTTCTCTACAGTTTACTTGGAATTTGACCCGGTTTCGTATTTTGATAATGGATTATTGGAATAACATTTGTTACAAATTTTATGAAATTAAATTTGGATCTCCCCTCCCAAAATACAAAATCCATCTCAAAAACTTTAATTTTTAAACTTAAATTTTAATTTTACACACGGTACACATGATGGATTACATCAGCTAGTAATTAAATAAATATGTGGAGAACAGATGAAATAAATAAATAAGTAGTATAAACAATAGATCACAACAATGGGAATACTGGCCGAGTGAATTCTGTGAGATTGAAAAAATAATTGCAGTAACTGGTGGAGAAGCTACAAGTCTGCAGGAGTGGAAGAGGTTGCAAACTAGAGATCGACCGATTATCGCTATCAGCCGATTTTCCGGTATATCCGTTTTTTTCCCTGAGATTTTCAGCAGATACGTATATCCTAAAGACCGTTATAGCGGCCTTATTACCTTATTTTAATGAGATTGTTAATGTTGGAACAATTTTTATTAAATTTTTTTTTTTATCCTCCACTTCTCCTAATTTGGACAAATGCCGATATTCCAAAGACCAATATATAGGCCTCACGACCTTATTTGATCAAGACTACTAGAATTTTATTTCTTCTTTTTTATCTATTTAATTTTATTTGTGTGCATCACTATCTAATTTTCTGGTCATCCTTTTAAATCTATATATCGTCCTCTTTCACATAGAATATTATTTTTTTATTTTTACTCATCCTCAGATTTTCAGCAATTACGGTTATTTTAAAGACCTATATATCGGCCTTATGACCTTATTTTAATGAGATTGGTAGAGTTTGACTGATTATTGATTTTTTTTTTTTTAACTTCTTGGCAAGAAATGATCGAAGAATCTCCTTTCTTTACTCCAAACCCCTACCAATTGCTTCAAAATGACCGAGAGGTTATGGAATTTGCAGCTATACCCAGAGAACCAAGGCCTCCTCCGATATTTGTGAAAAATATCTAAAATTTCCAGTTGTTCTGCACCCAACTTAATAAACTCTGCTCTGGCAGTTATTTATGCCTTATCAGGACCAACGATATAAAAATAAAACCAGATACGGCTGAAACCTAGTGAAGTTACGAAAAATAGTGAAGTTCCTACCAGAAACGGATGCGAATTTTCATACGTACCAGCTTAGGCAGGAGATATCGTTACTAGTAGTAATAAGAAATTTGCACTCCTCAATCTCAACTGAAGTGGTTAAAGAAGAACTAACGACACTTGGTTTCAATGTACGCCAGGTAACTAACGTCTTAAAGGAGAACAAGGAGCAGTCAAGGTTAATAAATAAAATCCCTCTACCATTGTTTTTCGTAGACTTGGAGCCATCAAAAGTTATCGAAAAAATATACGATATCACAAGATTATATTACACAATGGTGAAAGTAGAGAAACCATACCCATGAGAGAAATGGTGCAGTGCCATAATTGTCAAGCGTACGGCCACACATAGACTTACTGTCACCATCTGCCGCGTTGGGTGCGAACAGCACAAATCTGTGGAGTGTACCAAACCGATACAATATCCTGCAGTGTGTGCACTATACTTGGAGGGACACCCGGCCAGCTAAACAGACTGCCAAATTTACAAGAATCTCAAATCCAGACACCAGAAAAACCGGATTCAAGATGAAGCAGTAACACCAAGAAGAGAGAGAGAGCCTTAAAAAATAATGAACAATAGTATATCATCTTCCCAGCTACTTAGAGGTAAGAACTCATTCGATAAATGTCAAGTCCTGCCGCAACCACCTGAACCACAACCTCATAATCCTATTAATCCTAATATACCTAACCATCAACAGCAAATTCATCCTACCCCTCCTCCTTCAAATGCAACAGATCTCACCAGTTTGTTAGCATCTTTCCTCACCGATTTCAAATCCCTAGTTACTCCACTCATATCACTCCTCACAAATCTCGTATCTCACCTTAATGATTCACATCCCACAACCCATATCGATTCTACTTTGGAATGCGAATGGTGTTAGAAATCACGTTGACGAACTAACAACTTTACTACTAGACAAGAACATCAACGTAGCACTAATTGGGGAAACTCAACCTACCAGAAAACAGCTTTTAAAAATACCTCAATACATAACATACCGTACTGACCATCCTGACGGCAGAGCACATGCCGGTACTGCTGTTATTCTACACCAATCCCTTTCTCATCACCAGCTCCCATTACCGACTCAAGATTTCCTGCAATCCACCGCCATCGTAATCAAAACCTTCTCTTTTCCCGTCACCATAGCATCAGCATATTATCTTCCTAACAAATCCATATCCAATGTTATGTTTAGTTCCCTTTTTAACTCCTCAAGGCATCACTTCATCCTGGGTGGAGATTTAAAGGCCAAACAACATCAATCGAGCTTTAGAACCACGAATTCTCGTGGTAGAACATTGCTATATCTACTCAATTCCCAACGTTTCAGCCTCCTAACTCACCATTTTTTAATTTTTTTTTTTTTTTTGGCTCCTCGCCGTTAAGGCTATACGTGG